GTAGGTGTGAATGTGAGTGTGAATGGTTGTCTGTCTCTATGTGTCAGCCCTGTGATAGTCTGAAGGGTGTACCCCGGCTCTTGCCCAATGTCAGCTGAGATAGGCTCCAGCACACCCATAACCCCTGACAGGATAAGTGATTACAGAAAAATGAATGAATGAAAAGGAAAATGAAAGGTCAATTTTAAGATTTTTGGCTATTTTGCTAGTTGTGTCTTCTTTCAGACTAATGGACAGAAAATGTTCAAAATACACATTTAGGTATTATTGTAGTTCAGATTACCATTCTGGAAATGTATGAACAAAGTACATATTAAATCAGATAATGCCATTTTAGCCTCATTTAAATTTCTCAAAACTTGTAATTCCAAAAATAATAGTCTTAATGTAAGCAATCAACTCGAAATTAGTTTTTTCTCAAACTCTGAGCCAAAAATCTCTACTTCGGCAGCACTTACATACACCAAACATTTCAGTTTTATTCCTATCTATATTCAGAAGGTTTTTACTGAGAGGTTTGTTCATATATTATTCATAGCCTGATTTATATAACATATTATCACTAAAAATGTGGCAAAACTGATTTTTATAGCTGTTGACAGTAATTTTCATAGAGTGATAAAAAGAGATATCCAAGATTCCCTCTTTAAAAACCCTTGACTCTAGTACAGAGGTTCCCAGCTGTTTCAGCCATAGGGTCCAGATTTCTCCTTCGTCATTAGTTCAAGTTCAATTTATTCAGTTTCATTCACTGTACTTAAAAATGAAATTTGTTTTTTTTTTTTTTTTACAAACTTGGCATGTTTGCAATCCATTTAGAACAGATCCATAACCCCCTTTTGGACCACGACCCACCAGTTGGGAACCACTGCTCTAGTATGTCAACGTAATGAAACAAGAATTTTGAATTTGGCTTTGTCCAATGTTCAGATTTATATCCAGGAAATGTATGTATATCTGTACATGTTTTAATAAAATAATGCATCTTTTGCATATTTAAATATAAATATTAATAGAAAATTTAAACTTGTAATAAAAAAAAGAATTGTCCCAATGGAAGTAATCAACTTGGGAAGTTTCATGATGATATCTAGGATATCTAGTTTTTACCCTGTTCGACTGTAGTGTCTCCCCTACTTAAAGGAATAATCAGATTCTTTTGGATACTTATGAATATTACAGAAATGGAACAAATGAAAGTTCAATAAATAAAGTACAGAAATACAAGCAGAGGTGAAGGTGCCGTTGGCCTGTGAAAAATTATTCACAATAGTTAAAATGTAAATGCAGTCTAATGAAGCAGGTAATGAAATTGCAGCTAGCTGGCACTGTCGGCCCACTGTCTGTGCTCTCTCTCTCTGGCTATAGATGTTGAGTGTGCACCGTATCCTCTGGCTCCTCCTGTCAGACACACGGTGTACAAAATGATAAGCAGATAATGAGAATGAAGAGAGATGTTCTGCAGCGTGACAGTCTCTTTCCTATAGAGAGTACTGGTATCATCTAAAGGCTGATTAGCTGGAATCAATGCTAACACAACAGCCCGCTGGGTGCATTAATCACAATGCTTGTCACTGCACTGTAGCTTGTGTGCTCATTGTTTAACAATGTGTGTATTCATCAGATGCCTTTTCTAACAGTGTTCATTTAGTTTAGATCCTTCTCGCTGTGATATTTTTCTTCTCGCACCAAAGGGTGTCTTGGCATCAGTCTGCCACAGAAGAGGGGGACCCTCTCTTCTCTTCTCCTGTTGATGCTGTCTATGTCTTTAGGTAAATTTGAAGTCTTCTCTCCTTTCCCTGTGAGTTGACCGCACATCTCTCAACCGCTGCTCCACAGTTACATGATGAAGCACTCAGAACATTTGAATCAGTGATTTCAGAGGTAGTCCTGGGTGGTAAAGTGAACCCCCTGCTCTGTAGGGACCATTTAATGTTATGGATGTCCCAAATGTTCAGATGAAGTGTGTGTATGTGATGTCAGGGCAGAGGCAGGGAGCACAGCTGAAACACAGAGCACTCAAGTGCAACATTCTCCCTCTATCTTTCTCTCCTCAGTTCACCTCTCAAAGTTTCTATCACTCTCTCATTTCTTCTCTTTGTGTCTCACTCACACAAAACATACAGGCACAACTTGTCGTAACTATGACTGCAGTTGCCATAACACTTGTCTCCCATGAGTCCCCTCACAGCCAGGCACAAGTGATACAACTGTTGGTATCGGCTACAACTATGCATTATGGGTGTAATACGTCTGGGGAGAGATTGCTGGCCCACCCACGCTCCTCAAGTGACGCTAATGAACACACACATACTGGAAACACACACACAATGTTTTTCATAGAGAGGTTATTCATTTTGAATCATATTAAAGGGCAGTGGCGAGTTTGAGGCCTTGGAGCCACATTTGATTGAAGAGCAGAGACATGTTGCACCCCTGCAGCACGTTAGCTGGACAAGCTCTGGCATCTGTCTGCAGGACAGGAAGTTAACCAGAGCAAGACTTTCAAAGACTGTCTCGGAGTTAGAGCAAAACTGCAAAAATATTTAGTATTCAGACAAAATAACTTCAAGAAAACTGCTCTGAAAATATGTAGTGCCTTATTTGATTTTGTATTTTTGTTTTTTATCTTCCATGTGATTAACAATGGCTTTTCATATGAAAGAATATTGTTGATTTCAGATGTTTATCGGTCACTTATAATTAACGGACAATCAGTCAATATAACCCTCCATTAGAAACCTAAAATTTCCCTGACAGAAAAGTGTCTCCAAGAGGTGCTGCCTTACATGTAGATCTGACACAATGAGCACTGAACTACAACTTAAACAAGCAGCTAAAGTTTGCATCATGAGGGTGTATTTTTTTTCAGAGACACATTTTGTCTTAGCCTGGGAACCAGACAGACTGTGAGCTGAATTTTCTCTGGCAGATGCATCTGGTATCGGCATGGTCAGCTTGGGGCCAGTCACAACCATTTAGCTATTATGGGGCAGGTTTGATATGATGACTGACAACCTGTGGAGCCTTCGTGTTTAATGCAAACCATGTGATGATGTCATTTTTGGCTCATGTACCATCACAGCGAGGATGCCACGGCGAGCATAAACCTAGCCTATGTTTGGAATCGGATTCTAACATACTGCTTACAACATTCTCGGCCTTTATGTACTGCACGCTGCCTGTTAAATGAATATGCTGTCACCATCAGACATAGTCATATTGAAGTATCCTCATGCAAAATAACTGATTCACAGACATATTGATACACTATCACAGCTCACCTCTGGGTGCTGCAGTCTGTTTACACTTGACCGTTGCTCAGCACAAGGTCACACGTTTGTTTTGTTGCTCTGATTGGTTGTAGGTCTGTCCATCTACGGCCGATGATAACGAGAACGAAAAAAAATGTGTTGCCTTAGTACTCAAACCAGTCCCATGGATGTATATGTTTACACCTCTATAGAGACAAAATGTGTCACCCTGTTAGACAACACTGCTCACTGAATATAAACTCAACACCTATAATAGCACTGTGCGAGGCTCCATTTATCTATTTTGTGTAGAGATCAGGTCCTGTGAGGTCATTTTCCCTATTCCATCATTTGAATTAGTGCTTTGGCAACGTTTGATGTGATCATCACTAAATTTTACTGCAGAGTCTCTTAAAATTACTCAGCCTTTGACCCAAATGTGAAATTTAGTTTTATTTCTTGGGGCCCATGAAAATGGACTGCCAGTGTTGCCGTGGGGATTCATTCAGTTTGTCTCTTCATGACTTCAGTGATGCATTCAAACCTGTTCGCTGTGCATACAGATGAGACATCAGAAATATGAAGAGAGGTTTCAACTATGTTTACCTGTATGGTACTTGTTGTGAAAATGTAGGAAAAATCCACTAAATAACTTGAAGTCTACCATAAGAACTTTGTCTCCCCTCCATCATTAGTACTGGTGGTCTGGCATCTGTCTACAGCACATCTGGAGCGGTCACTTTTATTCATTACACCGTACGACATTTCACTCCACCATAGTCCATTACTCTCTGTGAATTGATATTCTGGCATTGGTTTTGAATGGGTGTGCTGTGCAAACCTAATCGTCTCCTATCCATCATTGGGCCAGCAGCCTGTTCTGCCATGAAAGTGGCACATGGGCAACATTTCCGTGCATACTGTATTCCCAACTAGGAAGTGCGCACTGAAGTTGATCACTGTACTGTTTTGGCTGTAGCTGCATGCTGTGTTTTGGTTGGTACCATATTTGTCTGCGCTCTGTCAGCAGGTAGGTGGTCTGGAATCTGTCTTACTGTATTTCGACAGGAACTTGAAAAATGATACAGTGCTGTTTCTTTTTTATTCCTGTCATTCTTGAGTGTTTTTTGTAATGGCTATGAGTAGCCTACAGTGGGCCTCTTTGTAAACCTTTGTAAATAAAGAAACTAAGACACAGACTATACAGTATGTACCCATCACTTTCAGTGAGCGGGGTGCACATAGTAACCATGAATGTTGCAGTTTAAGCCAGTGGTTCCCAACTGGTCCAGCCTTGGGGTCCAGATTCCTCTTCAGTCAGTAGCTGGAGGTCCCAGAGTTGAATACATTCAGTGTCATACTTGCATTTGGCCATGTTGTTGGGCTAGTTTGCTGCCTAACTCAAGTAGCTGTTTGTCAGTCACTCACTCTACAGCAGGAAATGGTGCTTCAAAATAAAAGCTTTGTGCTGGAAATTTACTGTACTTAAAAATAAAGTGTGTTTTTTTTACAAACTTGACACATGTGCGAGTCACTTGAGGTCCATTCAGAATGGGACGGTGACCCAATTTTAGATCGCAACCCACCAGTTGGGAACCACTGATTTAAGCAGTGCAAATTGAGTTTTGTGTGCAGGGGCAATAGTTTCTGGTGTGTTTTAATTTAATGAATTTAATTATGATTTGAATATGAATTTAATTTAACTAACTGATTTACATTTAATTTCTATTTTGTTTATCTGCACAGTGAAGAGGGAGAGGAGCCAGAGCTCAACAGCCATGAGTCTGCAGTTATCAAGACCATGACCAAAGGACCTGCAGCAATTCGGGGTAAACTCTGTGTGTGTGTGTGTGTGTGTGTGTGTGTGTGCTCTCTCATGTCCACTTGATAGCGGCACATCTTAAATGGTTTTTCATTTGCTTTTTAACACGTTCACAATGAACACTGGTTCTTGCCAGCTGTAATTTTTCCACGCTGTATAAAGTATGATTCATGGATCGGGGACCAAGCCACAATTGGCATGTGTCCTATTAACTGACTGAAATAACATTTCCACGTTTGTGAACACATTAAAAAAAACAGAATATATAAATAATACATGGGGTTTGGTGACTAAAATACATTTTTTGTTCATCGACTCAATTGCCGCATGAAATCTGTGGAATAGTACATTACTGCCTAAATCTGCTGCCAAACCCAACAAAGGTGTATCTGTGCGCCTGTGTGAGTTCCTTTTACTGTAGGCATGATGTGGTATTTTTTCACTTAATGAACTGGTAGAATATAATCAGACTAAGGTGCCTGAACTGTTTTCTTAGCATAAGTCACGGTGAATGCACACATACCTAAAATGTAGAGCCCCCCAAAATACATTCCTAAAAATAAACTCTCATTTAGGAATTGAACTAAATCTTCTTTTAACTAAATTTTTTTGATTGATTAATATATTCCTCCCCTGCTGTTAAAAAAATGTTATTTCTCTTCTCGTACAAAAAATGTTTGGTTCCAAATCCTGGCCTAGTGTAAAACTGATTTACTGCTGTTGGATTGAATGTTGTTGCAGCCAGTTAGCGAGGGGAAAGAGGCTTATTTTCCATGGTTGAAGCGTGACATATGTTGTGAAATAGGTCATTGCAGACTTGCTTTTTCTTTTCTCGTCTTTTTCCTCTGTGGAAGCCCATTAAGCAGGCAAGAAGGCCCCGCTCTGCCTGTGGCGCCTTGCTCAGTCACACGTGCAGCAGTTCTACTCCGTTAGAAAGATAATATTTACTGAGCGGACCTGTCGGGAGTTATGAATAAAGTTTTAAAGGCATGCCACAGAGCTGCGGTGTAATGCCCATACTCCATCTGCACTCAGCCCATAGATTCTGAAATTGAGCGTATTTTTTGGGGCATCATTCCGTTCATCATGCACATACAAAAAAAAGCCTATTTACCTGTTTAGCTGTGACTATTTATCCATGAAATAACTAGCCTATGCATTATACTTTACCCCACCCAGTCTGTGAGGACAACTCCTCTCCTCTCCCCTAATTTTCTCCCTGTTATAACTGCCACTCACCAAAAATCGTAAATGTAGTCACTTACCCAGGGTCTCAGGCTCATGAAAATATACTACTAGCCGAATAGCACCATAGCAGCAGTAAGCCACTGACCCATTTTGAATCCTGAGCTGCAGTTAAGGAACCCAGGCTGTCAGCCGCTCCCTTGTTGCAAATGCCCATTGTAAAATATATTGGCATGGTGTTAAAATTTAAACACACACACACACACACCCCAATGCTGTCACCCATATCATTCACTTTCCTGCTCCCCCTTATTCCTGGAGCAACTTCACCTCATGAAGCGCATACTGGTGTGATTAATGACAGCTTCACTAATAGGTTGAAACTGTGTAAAATTATTTGACCTAAAAATGCCTCTTACTTACACTTAAAAATGTTTACTACTTTTTGGAGGAAACTTTGGTTGAGGTAGCCTCAGAGAAAGAAAACATTTATATCTAAGGCATCCTAATGCTATGTTTTAGCCTCCATCTAGGCTGTCAAGCTTTGACTTAAAGCTCCAGTATGTAGGATTTAGTGGCATCTATTAGCAGAAATTGTATGTTTTATTCATAATTATGTTTTCATTCGTTTATAATCACCTGAAAATAAGAACGGTTGGGTTTTTGTGAACTTACAGTGTCATTCTACAGTAGCCCAGATTGGACATATCAAACACTGGTTCTAGATAGGGCCATTCGCATTTTCACTTCGGCCATCATAGTTCTCCTACACACTTGGCACATGGAAGAAGTTTCAGTTCTGCAACCTCACTGTTAGATGCCACTTAATCCTACACACTAGACCTTTAAAGAGCCTATAGGAATACTTATATTTATAATGTGATACTGTGCTTCTTATGATGAACCTAGACTTTTTAGTGAGCTTCAGCTCATTTAGTTGTCTGGCTCTCAACATTACTATTCTGGTTTAATTTCACTGTTGTTTTCGGCCACAGCAAGCTCTAAAAACCCACTGTAAACTCTACTTAGTAACAAAGTGTGGCATTTAGCAGCTAAAGAGTCAGAGATCTCCCTCAGAAGCTGAGACAAAAAGCAGAGCTTAAAGAGAGTGAATATGACTTACATTCATCAGGTGGCCAGAAACACGACCCCATATAATGATGATGTTGCTCCACAACTGCTGAATGTCTAAATAAGCAACTATTTGCTAACAAGTTCAACATAAAAGGTGATATGTTGAGCTTAGGACTTGTATCTGCTGCCCCCAAGTGGCCAAAAAATCAATTATTGCAAGTTTAAACTCATTCATTTTCTGTAACTGCTTATCCTGCTGAGGGTCGCAGTGGGGTGGGAGCCTATCCCAGCTGAAATTGGGAAAGAGGCGGGGTACACCCAAGGTCGCCAGACTGTCGCAGGGCTAACATATACCTACAGCTGATTTAGAGTCACCAATTAACCTAACCTGCATGTCTTTGGACTGTGGGAGGAAGCCGGAGTACCTGGAGAAAACCCACGCTGACACGGGGAGAACATGCAAACTCCACACAGAAGGACTCTTCCACCCTGGGCTCGTACCAGGAACCCTCTTGCTGTGAGGCGACAGTGTTAACCACTGCTACACCGTGCCGTTTAAACTCTATTTTTTTCAATGATGAGTGTTTCAGTGAACACCGTAGTCACCCTAACGTTAAATGTAAAGCCAGCTTTGTTTCTTGCCCAGATGGAGACATTTAAACATGGCACGTAAAGGTAAAGCCAAGCTCCAAAAGTAGCCCTTGCCTGACTGTGTGCACACATACAAAAACAAATCTCTATCCACAGTATGGGATCAAAGGCCAGGCTACATGTTTAGCCAGGTGTCTGGGTTTTAAATGAGGGAATGTCTTGGTGGTCTGTGTGTGTTCGTGTGTGTGTGTGTGTGTGTGTTTGGTCATGTGTATGCATGCACATATGCCATAGGAATGTGTCAGAGGTGGAGTGAAAGATTCGGGGAAGATTGATGTGGTGAATCCATGGTTGTGACAACAGTAGTCCACCAGCTGCATGCACCACCAGGACACCTGCTGGGTGTATAAAAGAAGAGGGCAGAGGTCAAATAACTTACACACCTGGGAAGAAAACACAGACGCACACACACACACACACACACACACACACACACACACACACACACACATACACACACATCCTTTGTGATGCTATAATTGCTCACTTTTTTGTTTCTCTTTCCTTTTACCATCCCTGTGTCTTAACCAGTGTAGGCTTTATCTCTCTTCCATCTCCTTAAGGTCACGGACCACAGGCTGGTTTGATCACCCCATCTTTCGGGATGAAGGGTAATGGAAGTGCCAGCGTCCCGAGGGGTCCTGTCCCAGCCCGACCTTTACCTCAGCCCCACCCTGAGGACACCTTGGTCCAGATGGCAGAGCACATCCCTGCTGGGACTCGCACGCCCATGTGTGCCCACTGCATCATGGTCATCAGGTGACCATGAACTCATTTAACAGAGAATTCTTTACAAGTATTACTATTCGTAGCAATCCTCAGTGTGGAGACAGTATGACTGAAGAATCCATGGGTCCGTCATCAGCAGGGAAGGAGGCTGTCATGACCATTTATAGTTAGAACTGTGAAAGAAAACAGTGAACATGCATGGCACTTAGCTCCATCATATCATGCCCATATTCTGCTTGCACCAGGGTAATCAAAAAAGAGGCAATCTCTTCAACTTGGCTGCACAGACATACATTTGTACTCAAGCAAATTAAGATTGGAAAGGAAAATAATGTCCACTTCTCAATTATTCAGCGTCTCAGTTTGGCACTCAACGTAATTAACTGGAAACCATCTCGAGTAAATAATCTGCGTATGAAACTGTAGAACAACAAAGATCTGACTGTAGTGGAGATAAGAGGAAGGGATATTAAGTTGCAGCAGCAGTAGATCAAACTGGAGACTGATGTTGTGCATCTTTAAAGACACGCACACATACGCAATTGGCTGATAACAATTCTTGATGATCCTGTTTTTAGTTTAAATACAGGGTCATCTCTTGATTCTCTCATGTGTAAGTCCAGTGATAGTTGCATACAACGTTTCCTCTCATTATCCCTCCTGCCTACATCTCTTTCTGGCCGGTAGCTGACTGCCCTAGCCTGAGAGTTATCTCCCAACCTGTGTCACCTTGCATTACATATCACTAAGGATAGAGTAGCTCACATGTTAATGGATGCCAGGCTTGGACTACTATCTGAGAAAGCTCAGATAAGCACAGCTATTGTGTTGAGGAAATTAGTCTCTGTTGTTTTCCCACTTTACCTAATCATCAAAGTGGACAGTGCCAAGGTGCTGTCTGAGTGGACGCAGAGCATGATGGTCATGGTAGACCATCAGTGACGCCAGCACACTGCTCTCTAAAATGTGAATGGAGTAGCGGAGTGATTAATCAGTTATGTCCTTAAAGCACAAAGGTCAAACGTTAACTGCTTCCAACCTCTTTAATATGAAAATTCGAGTTTTATATGATTGCAGACGTAAACCCTTTGGACTGCATGGAGCCACAGTTAATACTGAATTATGTTAAGTGTTTGCCGAATGTGTTAGTATCTCTTAATAAGTCATCAGAAATCAGAAATCATCTTTAGAAGGAGCAGATGTTTACCTTAAGCTAGCTTGGGTAGTACAAGTAATTACAATTGTTAGCCAGTGTCTCTTGCACATGGGATCATTTTTGCCAATGCAGTTATTTTATAACTTTGGGTAAAGTCAAGAGTTTATTTCCACTTATGCTTATGGGTCTGTTTGTCCTTTTTTTCCCCAGGGGGCCATTTTTGGTAGCAATGGGGAAATCATGGCATAAGGAGGAATTTAACTGTGCCCACTGCCGTACATCCCTAGCGGATATAGGCTTTGTGGAAGAACGGGGATCTGTCTACTGTGAACACTGCTATGAAGAGTTCTTCGCTCCCACATGCAGCCGTTGCCAGGCCAAGATCCTTGGGGTGAGTTGGTGTGAAGCGAAAACGAGATTAGGGTGTGTGTGTGTGTGTGTGTGTGTGTGTGTGTGTGTGTGTGTATAGCATGACACTTTTGAAGTTGTTGTCTGCTTATTGGTGGTTATTTAACAGAAAATACTGTGTACTTGACATCTAGGATTAATTAATTTGGATGATTTTAATTATATGAAGATGCCAACTACACTTTTATATTTATATTATAGTGCAGGGACAGATAACATGGATAAAAGCCTAGATGTTAGCCATTTGTTCAAAGATTTTAAAGGTGCTTTCAGACCTAGAGTTGTCTTGCTTTGGTCTGAATCAGGGACTCATTTTGTTACAAAGTCGTATAATTGTCTAGAGTTGGTTTGTGTTCTCACAGCAGCATTTACAAGTGGAACAGATAAAATGCTTGCGTGAGAAAGCTGCTCTTGATTGGTCAGAATTTCCATGCAGGAAAATCAAAACGTTGAAGAGGAGTACACTTGCAAGATAAATGTGACACTTTCTAATGTCACAATGGAGGGACAACTACGCAGGTTGATTTTAGCGCTGCTCATCGTGGACTATATTGCTGTCATTGTTCATTTTAGTCAAACCATACAGTTTGAAAACGAGGCACGGCTCCAACTAGAAAACAATGTTTTGATGCATTGGATGTGCTGAATGTACATATTAAGGCAGTACAGGAGGAGGTGCACATTAATAATCCTCCAGGACTGTAACATGCTCATGTTTAACCCAAACAATGTGTCATGTGACTGCAGTTGGTTCAGATTGAGGTTGCAACAGGTTCTCACTACAAATGAACCGCACCAGAGTTTGTAACCGGACTGAGACCACCTCTTCAAGAAGGTCTTGGTCCGGTTGTTTGGGTGCACATCCGATTGCTGTGTTCACACCTGCCCAAACAAACCGCACTTAGGGGGCAAATGAACTTGAATTCAAGTGAACAGAACCAAACAGGGCAGGTGCAAAAGCCCCCTATGTTAGTCCCATTCACTTACTGCACAGCTGGTCTTGACATTGTGTGTGGCTGTTTTCAAACTCCACCACCTGTTGTTTGGAGACCAAAAGCGATAGTCCTCCTCTGTGGCACCCAGTGCAAACGTGTCACACATACCAATGTCTGACTTTATGGTTTATATCTCACTCCTGTTCATGCTTAGGAGAGACAAAATAGTTTGCAACATTGTGTGCATGTTAGTTTCTATGACTGACTGTCGTACAGCATCAAGATTAACAATGTGCTAGTGTAATTCTAAGTCTTGCTGCTCTGTACTTTTCCACTGAGAGCCAGCTGCAGGTTGACGGGTTTGAAGTGGGCAACTGGATGATATAAAAGCTACAGAAAAATGGCTCATGGTGATTCAACTTCTCAATAAGAGTTAAAATAGAGGTTGACCCAGCATTTAAATGTATCATTTAACTGATGTATGTGCACACAAGGCTTTTTTTTTACTTTGGGATCTGTTTCTCTTCAAGCCTTCTTCTATCTTCTTTTTCTTACTTTTTAAGTTAAGAGTCAATGTTATTAATTCTAGACCAAATAATAATGGGGTATTAAATGTACAGGTGCAGACATCATCAAAGGGTTGCTATTTGGGTCACTTCAACCAAACCTGCAAGATAAATGCATAGAAGGCCAATGCAGGAAAGTTATAGGGAATTTCTATAGTGACCATCACTGAAACTCAGGAATGTGGTATATGTTGGGGTTTTAGGAGAATTAGGCTTAGAGGCCTAGAGGCTGCAGTTGTACCATGAACCCAGTGTGTCAGGAAGCTGAGATCTCTGCTCGCATAAGAGCTCTGACATTCATCCCTCACGTGTTCTAACCTCTTTAGCCTCAATCCCTTTCAACCCTCTATTTCTCACACATCTTCAACCAGCTTACGGCTTCTTATTAACCTGTTTTCTCACTCCCTCTCCTCTAATCCTTACTTTCACTCAGGCCCACCAACTTTCCATTGATTCCCTGTCAATTTCCTGTCTTGTTCTCACAGTTTAAGGGTGGGAAAGAAAGTAATTTGTCTATTGTAAGCTGGGTCATGTGGCCCCACAAGAAAACTATATGTGTGATATTTAAATGTGACATGAGAAAATGGCAGACTGTAGGGAAGACTGTGCTTTCCTCACACATGTAAAACAGACACACTTTTGATCAATGAATAGAAATGGATGATTTTTGTTGACATGTAAAGCAGTGTTACACAGAATCATCCAAAAAGCAAGGTTACATGGCAGCATCCCTCCAAACGTCTGTATCCTAGATCTAATTTTCTAGCTCTCGTGACTGACACAGACCAGTGCTCCCAATTATAATGCCTTCAACCAGCCACTCTGTTTGCTTTTCTCACCCAGGAGGTGATAAACGCCCTCAAACAGACATGGCACGTCTACTGCTTTCTATGCGCCTGCTGTCAGCAGCCGATCCGAAACAACACCTTCCACCTGGAGGATGGAGAGCCGTATTGTGAACAAGGTGAGTGATGAAGACTCTGAACAATGTGCTGATTGGACACATTGACCATGCTAGTAGGGCTGATGAAGGATGTCTCAAGAAGATTAGATTAGAAGACAAAAGTCTGCAGATGGGAAGGCACTGTTATGAATAAACTTTTATTTTGCTGCCAGCAGTAAAGAATATAAATGATTTCAGTTTAAAAAAGGAAAACAAAGAAAGTGTTGATGTCCAGTCCTGTGTATGTCATGCCATGTTGTTTTGTCTGCTAAAAGACTTTTACAGTATGTTTGGAACCGGCTGCCATGGCTGTGAGTTCCCCATTGAGGCTGGAGACAAGTTCTTGGAGGCCCTTGGTTACACCTGGCATGACACCTGCTTCGTCTGCACAGTAAGTAAACGCTTTACAGCATATTTACAGTCAATTGAAAGGCAACTATTCATCTGACCTGTATGTGTTAGAAATGTGAAGGTGAGATAGCGCTTCCAGATGAAACAGACATAAATGGCAAACTCAACAAAGACAGAGTAGGAGCATTAGGCCTAAACCTAGGCCATTATTGATGTGCAGTCACAATGGGAACCGCTGCCACCAACCAATCCAAAAGCTTTTAACAACAACTCCTTCTGTGTATGTGTGTGTGTGTGTGTGTGTGTGTGTGTGTGTGTGTGTGTCTTCTCTCAGGTGTGCTGCACCACTCTGGAAGGCCAGACCTTCTTCTCCAAGAAAGACAAACCTCTTTGCAAGAAACATGCTCACACACTGAAGATATGAGTCTTGGACTTTTCTCAGAATATTCTAGCCATACATTCTTCTTTGGTCGATGGGGTGGGAAGGCCTCTTAGTAGTTCATGCAACAGTAAAACCCAAGCAATACTTAGAAGCATAGAGGTAAAAATAAGGGAAACACTGCCATGAATGCAAAGTAAGCTTATTCTTGTCCAGAGACCCAGATCCAGTGTAAACATAATCTAAAATACTCATCTCTTGTGATTTCTATTATAAACAGCAACAAAGCTTGTAGTAAAGGATCACTGTTTGACCAATTTTATTTGGATTTTATTTGCTTCTGCGTACAAATGTAGAAGTTTTACTGCCAAATGGTGCAGTGTATGTCTACTACCATGAGCAATTACCAAAGTCAGACATTTAATACTGTCTAAAATGTAGTGATCCAAGTCTTTATTTTTAAATCCAGAGTTTTAATCTTTAGTTTCTCAGATGCATCACAGTGAGATCATCACATTTACCATTGAAAGCCAGTGTAAGCAGAGGCTCAGGTTACCTGTTAAATCACGACACCTGCAATTAGATAGAACCAGAAATGTGTGAAAATGTATTTTCAAACCCACACTAAAGGAATTCAGACAGAGGAGAATATCTGACAGTTGGTTTTCTAAGCAGGTGTTTATTTTTGTTTGTGTAGCTGTAATTAAATTTAATAATCTGATCCGCAGCCATTAAGACAGGTTCAATAGAATATCAGCGATCCAATTCCCTGTGTCAAATGTTGTTATATTTTGTTTTTGTGCCCTTTGCTTTATGAGAATCTACATAAAAAAGTGTTGGACTGTGCTTACAAGTTGTTTTAATACTGTACAGGTGAGCTGGATGTCGGGGGGGTGATGGTGAAACCTTTATGCTTTTTATTTCCTATTTGTCGTGTGAAATTTGTAACAATGGCCAAAATGTTTGAATGAATAGGCCAGATTTAGTCACATACAACGGTGAAGCACTTGATGGACAGAGAGAAAGAGGAGTAGTCTTGATATTACGGAGGACAGAACCGGCCCTAAATATAAGCTAAATAAATAAGTATACAAACAAAATAAATAAATGTATAACAAAATATATAGAGACTACAGTATATTATGTATATCTTTGTTCTTCTCCTAACTTTGATAGAGTGACATATCTTGACAATTGCATTATATTGGCAGAAATATGTTTTCTATACTAAGTGCCATATAGTTTAATGAATTCTATTAATATTTTACTTATTTTACCTCATGTTATTGTATTTTATAATAATTGCATCCATTTCCGGTTAATTCAGTCCTCCATGCTTCATAGAAGTGAGCAGCTCTTTCTGTCCTGGCCTGCAAGAAAACATGGTTACTATAATCCTTGTGTAGTAAATTGTGTATTTTATTTTGTCTAGAGGTGAGAAATGTCTTATCTAACGATATGTATTTAACATTTTGGGTGACTGGGAGCAGTGCAGGGAGCAGATAGGGGGTTGTTATTTCTCTGTTTTAAGTATCTCCCTTCACTGTTCACTAACCGTCCCAACGTACTGACTCTGAGATATTTACTTTTCATTATGGCTGAGGGGTACACATGGTCACAAATATTTTCTTTAGTTTGCAAACACCAGAACAAATGGCAGCAAAACACACTTTCACATAATTATCAGTCAAGAAAGCTGGGTTTTTACTCTTCAGGGATGAAAGGGGGTGAGTACAGTGTACAGCGGTAATCAAACAATACTCATCTACAAAACTACAGTCGGAACGATTAAAACTGATCTGAGCTGTTAAATAAATGATGTGCTTTTTTAACCCCCATGAGAAATATCCTGTGTGTCTTTGTTTGCTTTTGCTCTCAGACAGTGTAACACTATCTCACCACACTAAACTTCCTGTAATATTGCTTGAGACAGCACATGGCAGAACAGAGGGGTTGGACATAAGCAGTGTGAAATGCAGATTTAAACGCATGTCTCCACTGTGGTGAGAAAGGTCAAAGGACACAGAGATAGAAAGAAACAGAGGGGTGATGTGATACTGTGAGAGGGGAACGTGGTAAAATGAGGATGTTAGCGACACCATGGTCGTAAGAATCTGTTAATGGGATTATTATTCATGTAGTGAACTTCCCTACACATTAATGGGCATTTGTCCAATTTGGAAAATTGAGCAAAAACAGTTGCAGATCTCTGCTTGATCCCAGAGTGAATACTTCAGCTGTTCGTGTAATGATAAAGCCAATAATGAGTATCTGCTCATATGTCTCACTCTGATAATGACATTTCCCTGCAGTTGAACAGCTCACACTGAAGTAGGCTGATGATGAGTAAATCATAGAATGGGCTTCATATAGTTTCAAGTATCTCAGCTGACATTGGGCGAGAGTCAGGGTACAACCTGGACAGGTCACCAGACTATCACAGGGCTGACTCATAGAGACAGACCATTCGCACTTACATTCACCTCTATGTCCAATTTAGAGTCACCAATTAACCTGCATGTCTTTGGACTGTGGGAGGAAGCCAGAGTACCTGGAGAAGATCCATGCTGACATAAAGAACATGCGACCTCTGTACAGAAGGGCTCCCCCACCCTTGGTTCAAACTAGGAATCCTCTTGCTGTGGGGCAACAATGCTAACCACAGCACCACCGTAACGCTTGCATAGAAGTTTGTTATATCATTAAAACAAAACTATATGGATTAAAAATCATATGATATATTGATTACTCTTTGAACAAAAAATACCCTCATAATATATCTTTACCAAATAATTTAAGTGTGAAGCTGATGCGACTCCGAGCCATTCCTATAATGGGTATATTTGTCTCTTTCCCTCTCTGCAGGCACATTCACTTTCCCACTCTTCAACTTCTTTTTTTATCACTTGCAAAAGTGAATGGACCACTGCTGGTGACACTGAGAAATAAATATGCCACACAAAACAATTTTAAAATGTCTCCTGGTCTTTTACGGGCAATCAGCCATGCATGGATTACCAAACAATCCTGCAGGGCCCAAGGTGTCAAGTCATCATTTTGACTATTATATTACACTCTAACTCTTCACTGTGTTTTCAAATAGGCCTATTTGAATACATTTCTTTGCCATTAAAACTTGTGGCCTAGGTGCTGTGACACTAAATAAACCTTTCTTTCCTTGAAGCGACAGTTCACCCCCAAATCAAGAATATATATTTTTACTCTTACCTGTGCTATCTATCAATCTAGATTGTTTTGGTGTGGGTTAGAGAGTATTAGAGATATTAGCCGTAGAGACATCTGCCTCCTCTCAAATATAATGGCGCTAGATGGCACTTGGGTTGTGGTGCCAACAGTACATGCAAATAATACATTCAAACACATTCAAACATTCAAAACACATTCAAACTCAACAGCAATGTCTCTTTCCAGAAATCATGACGTGCAACTGAAGATAATCCACAGACAGACTTTGTTGTGAGCAGTCTCATGTCGGGACTATTTTCTTTCTACCGAACTACACCTGCCAACCGCATCACAGCGCAAAAGGAAGCATGTTCACCTAGCACCACTGAGCTAGCTAACCTTACAGCTCAGCTCAGGTGGACGCTATTAAGGTTTATATCTTGCACTGTAACAAGCACCATCTCGTCCATAAGTTCATGCAAGTTTCCCCCAGTGTACTGAGATATACAGAGCACTTTCCCCGGCAGCAATAGTTAACTCGTCTGGCAGGGGCTTGAATGTGATAGATGTTCGTTTGTAAAAGTCCTCCATAGATTTAAAGGACTCATGGCAGTGGTGTAAGGTGAGGGACCCTAGTGCGCCCTAGTTACTAGACCTATAGGCTTATATTTTACCAACAGCGTGTCTTACTGCTGCTTCTATGTTATCTTCTTGTAGATGTGCCCAGCTTGTCAGTCATGAGACTTTGCATCAAACTAGCAACTGTAAATCTTATCATCTTGTTACATGATTAAACAGAGACTTGATATTGGACATCAACATACACTGAACAAAAATATAAACGCAACACTTTTGTTTTTGCTCCCATTTTTCATGAGCTGAACTCAAAGATCTAAAACATTTTCTATACACACAAAAGACCATTTCCCCTCAAATATTGTTCACAAATCTGTCTAAATCTGTGTTAGTGAGCACTTCTCCTTTGCCGAGATAATCCATCCCACCTCACAGGTGTGGCATATCAAGATACTGATTAGACAGCATGATTATTGCACAGGTGTGCCTTAGGCTGGCCACAATAAAAGGCCACTCTGAAATGTGCAGTTTTGCTTTATTGGGGGGGGGTCAGAAAACCAGTCAGTATCTGGTGTGACCACCATTTGTCTCACGCAGTGCAATACATCTCCTTCGCATAGAGTTGATCAGGTTGTTGGTTGTGGCCTGTGGAATGTTGGTCCACTCCTCTTCAATGGCTGTGCGAAGTTGCTGGATATTGGCAGGAACTGGAACACACTGTCGTATACGCCGATCCAGAGCATCCCAAACATGCTCAGTGGGTGACATGTCCGGTGAGTATGCTGGCCATGCAAGAATTGGGATGTTTTCAGCTTCCAGGAATTGTGTACAGATCCTTGCAACATGGGGCCGTGCATTATCATGCTGCAACATGAGGTGATGGTCGTGGATGAATGGCACAACAATGGGCCTCAGGATCTCGTCACGGTATCTCTGTGCATTCAAAATGCCATCAATAAAATGGACCTGTGTTCGTTGTCCATAACATACGCCTGCCCATACCATAACCCCACCGCCACCATGGGCCACTCGATCCACAACGCTGACATCAGCAAACCGCTCACCCACACGACGCCACACATGCTGTCTGCCATCTGCCCTGACAGTGAAACCGTGAAAACAGTGAAAACGTGCCAGACGCCATCGAATGTGAGCATTTGCCCACTCAAGTCGGTTACGACGACGAATTGCAGTCAGGTCGAGACCCCGATGAGGACGATGAGCATGCAGATGAGCTTCCCTGAGATGGTTTCTGACAGTTTGTGCAGAAATTCTTTGGTTATGCAAACCGATTGTTGCAGCAGCTGTCCGGGTGGCTGGTCTCAGATGATCTTGGAGGTGAACATGCTGGATGTGAAGGTCCTGGGCTGGTGTGGTTACACGTGGTCTGCGGTTGTGAGGCCGGTTGGATGTACTGCCAAATTGTCTGAAACGCCTTTGGAGACGGCTTATGGTAGAGAAATGAACATTCAATTCACGGGCAACAGTTCTGGTGGACATTCCTGCAGTCAGCATGCCAATTGCACGCTCCCTCAAAACTTGCGACATCTGTGGCATTGTGCTGTGTGATAAAACTGAACATTTTAGAGTGGCCTTTTATTGTGGCCAGCCTAAGGCACACCTGTGCAATAATCATGTGGTCTAATCAGCATCTTGATATGCCACACCTGTGAGGGGGGATGGATTATCTCAGCAAAGGAGAAGTGCTCATTAACACAGATTTAGACAGATTTGTGAACAATATTTGAGGGGAAATGGTCTTTTGTGTATATAGAAAATGTTTTAGATCTTTGAGTTCAGCACATGAAAAATGGGAGCAAAAACAAAAGTGTTGCGTTTATATTTTTGTTCAGTGTACAGCACATACCCCGCTGTACAGGAACCAGTGAGGGGAAGCAGGGAAACTTTGCTAATATTCAACCAGCTCTGTGTCATCAAATTGTGCGCAGATGAACGTTGTTTGACTTCCCCTGGAGATTCCTGCACGTCCGGCAGTGGAGGTCTGGGTGCTGGCAGCAGGTGAAGCCAAACACCGTTCATCTGCACACACTGTGATGCCACACAGCTGGTTACAATATCAGCAAAGTGATGTGGTGGTTCACTTTTACACTGTGATCTGTAGCCTATAGTTCGGCTTTGGCTTCTAACTATCTTTGTCTTTTTAACCTGTTGTTGCTGCTGAGTCAGTTTGACATCCTGGATATATCCTTCAAACACAGACTGTAGACCCCTCTGTCTGCTTCTCTCTGGAATCACTCTTTCATTTTCCCAACAAAAATATGAAAATATTTCTTCAGGGAGTGCAGTTAGTTACAGTGTGGGCTCCATGCTTACTCTGACAGCTTGTCGGACCATCACAAAGGGGAGGGGCTTAGCGAAAGGTCAACTGCTTATTTAATAATGTATCATGATTTGTGAGACATTCTCAACATTTATTCAATTTTTGGCATTGTGTATATTTTCATTGCACTTTATGTGGACCTTACTGTTTTCTGTTTTTATATTTTGCACCCATGGTTATGTTACTTTAGTTTTTTATTTGCACTTATTTTATTTTCACTCTTCCAACTTTGTATCGCAACTGGTGCACAGCAAATTCCCTCGAGTCTTATCATATAACATTTAGTGTAAAGTGTACCTTTCCATCAAATTAAAGTGGAAAGTTCACTTTCTGTGCATTATTATTTTCTTACTCTTCTAGGTTGCTTGTGAATTAATTATTATTGGTGAAGAGGCAGAGCAGTTAGGCTTTTTTATTTGTTTATTATTTATTAGACACCAAGAAGAGGAGTGCCTGAGGAAGCCAGCAGTCAAAGCACGACCTCACTAAATCATTTGTCTTTGCTAATGCACTTCTCTGTGGCATTAATCACCCCACATACAGCTGACTGAGGAGCAGAGAGGTTTTCGTGTGTGAGACCAAAGTGTGACCTCGTGTGTGTATGTGTGTGTGAGTGGGTGTGTGTGAGTATGGAGAGGGAGGGAGGAGGAAAAGCTACAACTCTGGCGTAGAAGCAGACCGACCCGCATCTGTACCCGGAGTACCGACAGTTTAAACTCCTCTCCATCCAGATAAGAAACCAAA